AAAATTCCGATCGCGCACTCTCTACAAACACAATCTCGACTTCTCTATTTGCGTGCATGCTAAGGGACGACCAAACCCGAAAACCCAGTTTCTTGGGGGGGGGGGGGGGGGGGGGGGGGGTAGGTACCACTACTCAAGGTTAATTTATTTATTTTCTCAGTCAACATTTCTATTAGGACAGATTATTTATTTGCCATCTGCCAGCGCTCCCTTTTAGAATCCAATGACCGTCTAACATGCACGCAAATACATATGAGCCGCAGGCACTTGTTTCCTTTACGGGGCACCTCCTACTTATTATTTTTACCACAGTGGTAAAAATAAGTAAGGGTGCCCCGTATACGAAACAAGTGCCTTTGATATGAGCCCAATTTGTTTGGGCACCCGGAACATCTTCAACCCGATACAGGCTGAAATTTGACCAATAAAATCCTTCGTAACGAAACAAATAAACAATCCGCGGATACAATGCAAATGAAAAATTATCGCATACAAATAAAAATTTTACAATACAAATAAGAAATTATACAATGCAAATGAAAAATTATAGAATACAAATAAAAATTATACAAAACAAATGAAAAATTATACAATACAAATGAAAAATTATACAATACAAATAAAATTATACAATACAAATGAAAAATTATACAATGCAAATGCATGGAAAATTATACAATGCAAATGGAAAAGATCGAATATTGCAACGTTTGACATGCCATAGTTTTGAGCAGAAAATTTTTTCAAGGTGATTCCAATATATTCTTATGTAAAACTTTGACCATCTGTTGTGCCCCCCCCCCCTCCCCGCTTGGGGGTCATTTTTGTTTTACAATACCTATGGTTGCTTCTGCATAAATATGACTAATAATGGCTTAGTTGTAATTTAGAATAAAATTTTAAAAGAGATTTCCTATATATTCCGATGTAAACATTGACCCACTGTTAATCTTCATATATCAGTTTATTTGTATAATTATATACTTCTATTGGTTCCCTACAGTGATGTCTTATACTCAGGTGACCGTAAAGGCCCTTTGACCTCTTGTATATGATTTCCATAGATATCAAACACACTGTTGTATGTAGCACAGTTGGTCTGTACCAGCATCAACACCTCTGCATTATATTTAAAAATACATATATACTTGCGCGAGTATGTTTTAAAACGCTTTAACACAGATAATCTAGTTGTCTATACAATATGACGTCAAAGTAAGAAATATTACGTGAGCATAAAATAGAACAATTTATTTAAAGATTTATTTCAGGTCCTAAATATGAACGAAAACATGCAGAACATAATATAAACTTAATTTTGTCATTTTTAGGATGGCATAAATAGCAAAATATTTATCATGGGGGTTACATCCTTAACGCAAGACGTCATAACTATTGATCAAATATTTGCCCGGTAAAAATGAAACATAACGAGTATTCATGTAATCAAAGATATGATCATGAAGTGGGAGATAAAATACATAATATCGTGAATAGATAGAGGATATTCAATGTTTTGTGGATGAATATGGAATTTATTTCACGAGTGGGACAGGATTTTTTGATATTTTCACGAGTGCAAAGCACGAGTGAAAATATAAAAAAAATCCTGTTTCACAGTTATAAATTCCATATTCATCTACAAAACATTGAATTTTCTGTTTATTACATTTTCTTTGATTTTGACTTTGCCTCTGTCTTTTCTTAACACGTACAGTGTCATACGCTTGACGTCATAGTTGAGCGGTTGAGACGTCATAGCTTAGCAGTTGTGTGATTGAAAACATTACATAGCATGGATTTTAGCAACATATTTGGGAAGAAATTTGCAGTTTTAGCTCTATCGAGATGCTTAGTTACTATCTCTATCTTATGACATGTCAGAAATTGTTTTTTACTTACTTTGATATCCTTTAACACTGTGAGAGAATATCATTTGGGTATCCTTTCACACTGAGAGAATATCACTTTTATTCAATAAATAAATCACAGTATTTCACTGTTGAAAATGTAATAATATTTGTTATTCATAAGAAATTCAAGATTAAGAATCAGATAAGATTCCATTATTTTTATCGGTTTTTCTTATGATGAAGACAAGCAGTGTTTTGAAATCTAGATCTGTCGGTATTACCGACGACAACGATGAAAAGGTCAATATTACACTTCGTTCTTACAAACGTATATTTTTTGTTTATATCGAAAGCTTGTAGGACTCAAAAGTACTGTTAGAATCATGTGGTTAACATAGATTGATGACAATTTTTAGATCGTGTGTTTTGAATGTTAAAAAAATGGTAAGGTTCCATGCAAAAGTGTGGATTCTAGCAGCATTTTCTACTGTCGAAAGATCTTTTCACAGAATTTTTTTTCAAAGAAAAATGAATTATTTCCGGGGTAGTGTTGAACTTTTCACATTTTCACGTATGCATATTTTTCTATTTGTAGACATCACATATGATGACATTGTCGTAAAGTGCTTCTTTTAGCCTAAGACTCACAGAGGTCTATACAATGGATAATAATAGTAAATGTTTTATCCATGGCTTATCCGATTTATCATGTTGCGTTTTTGGAAAAGGTGTAGTCTCCAAATAATGATCTGTATGATACCTTAACATACCTGGGCCAGGGTTCTCCATAGACCGTTAAACGTGGTACACGTAAAATTGCCTACCATCAAAGTTAGATGATAAGTGCCATACTTCTTCAGAGTAAGATAATTGCGCTGCAAAATAACATTCTTAAATTCCGATTTTCAGTTTCTAATGTTAAACTTTAGTTTACTCTAATTTGGATACATTGTTTGGCTTGAACAACTAATTTCTTCCAGACCCTCGCTGACTTTACTTATGAATTAATGAAAAGAGACAAGTTTTTTTTTTTTTTTTTTTTTTTTGGTTATTGCACTTTGAATCATCGTGTGTATATATAATAATCATGTATTGATGGTATGTTGAACAATGAACGATAGATCCATCAAAAATAATATTTTATGACTAAACTCATGAGGTGATGATTAATTAACAAGTTTTCTAATTCTTCAGTCATATGACAAGAAAGATTGAAAATGTATTGATGAAAGTTTGATTGTGCAACTTACCAGAATTTCCTCTGTCCAATAATTTATACTGCAATTTGTATAATTAAATTTTACTTTTGTAAACATAAATTATTTTTCTGGATAAACCAGGGTTATATGTGTTACTTATACTATTATTTTTAAGAAAATATAAAGTTATATCAATTCATTTGTAAGGGGTAAGGGGTGTTAGTAGATCATACTTATATATATATATATATATATATATATATATATATATATATATATATATATATATATATATATATATATATATATATATATATATATATATATATATATAAAATTTATTTTATATATATATATATATATATATATATATATATATATATATATATATATATATATATATATATATATATATATATATATATATATATATATATATATATGGTAATTCCCATTTTGCTATACGGAAGCAAAGTTTGGGAAGTTGAGTCAGTCATAAAAAAAAAAAAAAAAAAAACAGGCTAGGCATCTTATGAAAAGTTTCATATTAAATTTTTAAAAGAAATCTTAGGAGTTCATTGAAAAACTTCAAATAATATTTGCTATTCTGAACTCGGGAGACTCCCAGTCAGATAAAATATTACTATGTTTGCTATCAAATACCTTGATCATTTATTTCATTTGAACATACGTTGGCACATGATATTTTTTTTATCAAAACTAAAGAAAATAACACAATGTCATGGTCTATGTGTTTAAAGACTTGTTTTAATAACTTTGGGTTTTCTTATTTAACAAATTTTAATATGTCATTGAAACCAGTGATTGGCATTGTTAAGCAAGTATTCATGATCAAATATTACAAGAACAAAATGCAAGTATTATGAACTCTTCAAAACTATCATTTTATCGGAACTTTTCTTTGAATTATAAACGTGCACATTATGTTGACAAACAAAGTCAATGACACCGCACTGATAGATCATTTTTAACAAAAATTAGGTTAAGTGTACATAATTTAGAAATTGATAAAGGTAGATATGTTGAAATTAATAAAAATGATAGGTTGTGTAAAGTATGTCAAAACCATGATATTGAGGATGAAATACATTTCATTTTGCTCTGTCCGAAATATGAAGCACAGAGAAAAATTAAGGAAAGTAGGTAATTTTGTTTTGAATATTATATTCAAAACAAAATTATCTACTTTCCCTAATTTCAACCAGACAATCCATAATAATGACAATTTGTTAAAACCATTGATGAAAACCGCGCAGGTGTAAAAGGGTTCTTAAAATACTATATTTTTATGTCAAATATCTGATATTAGCAAAAATGTTTAGCTGTAAATGAGTATAACTACATTGTTATGAATTATTTAGTATCTGATGAGTATACTACATTATTTGCTACACCAATTGTTTGTATTCTAGTTGTGCTCTATTGTATTATCATGCTTATTATTATATTCTGTATGGGCGTTTACCAACTACTGTAATTGTGTTTGTGCCAATAAAATATTTTGAATTTTTGATATATATATATATATATATATATATATATATATATATATATATATATATATATATATATATATATATATATATATGTCTAGGTGTGGGTGTATTCTTTTGGCTTCAAAAACTTACAAGGATAGTTATATAATTGTCAACAATATTTTTCAAATTACGCAGATAATGTCAAAAGAGAAAATGTTCCCTTCAAGGTATTTTAAATTTGTTATTTTCATTTTAAGATATTAGTCGAGACTTGATTTTTCTCCATACAAAATGAGATACTACATGTAACAAATAGAAAGAAAAAAAGGTTAATGAGTGTTAAATATCATTACGTATTGACTACTTTTGCTCATAAAATTCAGATATCTAGGGGGAAAAAAGAAACATATATATTCCGAATTTTCTTGCTTATTTGCAAAATTATTCGATTAAAAATTAAAGAAATCAGTTATTTTTGAAATCCATATAGAATGCTTCAGTGGACAAGTGTGGTGTTTATCATTTAACTCGTTCCACATTCTCTCTATTTCTTTAGGGTAATAATGATGCCCTGTAATTTTGTTTTCAAAGTGTGTCCCACATGGTCCTTGATCTCTATATCCACAACTGAATCCGGGATGCCCCTCAGCCACGGCATTAATGTATTTTCTACAGATTCCATTTATAAAGACATCCTCCAAGAAAATATATTGCGCAATTTTTGTTGCAAAGTAAAGTTCAGACAGAATATCACCGGTGATGACGTAAGCTGGACCGCTGATGTAATCTGGAAATGTATCAGCACTGTACTGATCACGAGATAAGTACCATTTTGAAAACGGAAATCTGAAAGGCGAAGTATCTTTCACTTTACATCCAATAATAGAATTAGTTCGTTCCCTGTGTCGGAGATCATCTAAAAGATTCCTGATATTTAAGAAGATATCATCGTCTACTTTAAGGTAATATTTAGCATGGTTACAATTGTTATGAATCCACTCTAATATGCTAATTGACTTCCTCGCCAACATTTCATACTTTTCCTTAGTTTCAACTTCAATGATGTCATTATGAATTTGCTTTTCCTTTGTTAAAATGTCATCTATTCGACTGTTCTCTGATGTTCCAACAAAGAAAGCGATTTTAAGAGAGGGGTCTGATTTAGCCACACTCCCCCACGACTTTCTAATTGAAGATCGTTGCTCAAAGTTGGCAACATGACTAGGAACAGCTATGAAGAAAAATAATGTAGATTCGCTTTTACAACTGAATGGTGACATGGAAACAGTATGGTGAGCTTTTTTTACGAGGGAGATGTCAATATTGTGAACGGGTTCATGTACTGGTACAAATAATTTCATTATAGCAAGGATGCTCGTTAATATCAATGCACTGTAAATAAGAACTCGCATACACAGTGGAAATCTCCGAATTTTTCGCTTAAAAGATATTGGGAAATGACCCATGAACTGAAATGAAAAAAAAAAACAATGATTTACTCTAAAATTTTGATATGCCCTCATTTAAACTTTTAAAAAATGATAACCTAATCTATAGCCTTCTTTAAATGTATTATAATTAGTTTAAATCTAATGTAGATATTCAATATAATGTTTCAAAAGTGCGATTGTAGCCTTTCGGCGCTTTTCAGCAAGCTAAGAAATCGAGTAGTAGTATTTTTAAAAATCTTTTATTTGTAATTGGCATACAGGCAGACAGTTTTTCCTACTTTCAGTAAATCTGCAATACACAATCATCCCTTAGTTCTGAATATTTTTTATTTCAAAAAAAAAAATTTGTTCATAGTTTGCATGACTTTAATTATATATTCAATATATGCTATTTTGGTAAATAATTGTAAATACATGTAAATAATAATTTTCCACACTTGACGATATTGCAAATCAGGTGAGTGGGTAACTATATAAATTTATGATGCATTCAAGCAAAACTTGCTGTCTTCTAGTGGTGTTAGATCTTTATACATAATTTTATTATTGAAATGAAATTTTAAAGCTCACTTTAGTGCTAAAACGAATGTAAAATATCTGGCATTGCCATATGAAATAGTTAAGGAATGAATTTGATAGCTACCCAATTTAGACGGTATAAACTGGGTTGGGGCAGTTTACGGTTTATAAACCGCGAAGCGGTTTATAAAAAAGCCTAAACTGTTTCAACCCACTTTATAAAGTATAAATTGGGTAGCTATTAATTTCATTCCTTACAATTTAATTTTCGTTCATTTAGTGTAAGAAAAAAGATGATTGTCCTTAAAAAATGACAATGAAAATTGTACAAAGTTTAAATGTAACGTCAGGCGGATCGATACGTTTTTGACGCAAGTCATTGTGACGTGGGCAACCCAATTTATACAATATAAACTTATTTTTTATCCAATCAAAGAATAAATATGTAAGCATCTATAATACATGTAGATACGTACCATAGCGGTTGATAAATATTTGCTTTGTTAACATCTCAGCGGCATTGCGGACAGAGACAGTGTTATCCAGTCTGAAATCGATAAATGTAAAGATGAATATAAGTTCCATTACCAGCGTGAGTTTTGTTTGATTGTTTTTGTTTGTTTTTGTTTTTTTTTTCTTTATTTCAAAGTCGAGTTCCTTAATTTTATATTTTCCAAGAGACACACGGCTTGCCTCATGAAAATCAAATAATTATGATATTTAATAAATTAATAATATACATAAATAATATAAATCCATAAATACATAAATATATAAAAAAGCATATTAATAATGTACAGATTTAATTGTCAAATATTATCAGTCAATTAACTGCATGCAAGAATTTTATATAAAAGTTGTATGCAAGAGACAACGATCTCTAATATCTGTTTTGTCTTTTTCTTTATATCGTGCAATAATAATTTTGTAACACTAACGTATAAATCTTAACATAAACAAAAAAAGACTAAGTACTACAAAGTTGAAATAAAAGGGATAAAAAATAAAATAAAATGAAAATCATAATAAATATGAAGTTTTGAAAAGAAAAATGTTAATTTATTTATATATAGGTGGTTCGTTAACAATTTTGTCTAGTGTACTTGAAGTCAATTTAATAATCAAAACAACGCGTTTAAATTCTCAACCACACGTAATAGAGCCCATTTACATGTACCCCCGTCTACGGTCAGTATTATGACTCTAATCTGATTTTTAGATGAACAATATTTTGTTTGAGGATTAACTGTTGTAAGCATTTTAAAACATGTTACGAAAATAAGAATTAAGCTGCTATAATCAAGAAAAAAGTTTTCTGAACATTTCCTTTTTACTTTACATCAATGTCATTTGGTACTTGAATGGATATGAAAATCCAGCACTCGGTTTTTTTAAGAATTAAAACATCGATCAATAATTTTTCAATGCGAAGTTATACAAGATATTTATAGATACATGTACCTAATTTTCCGATATCTTAAAATATCAAAATAGTTGAAAAAGGTACATGTATATAACCTTACAAAAGTCTCTATTGGTCTTTGAAATAGACGTGTGGATTTGCTACATGTAGTTGACAAATTCAGCTTAAAAGGTGATCAATTGCAAATTTATAAGTAAAGTGTGTATCCATAAATTATAATCAGTATTTCATCTAAATCATATCGTCATTTTTGAAACTCAAGAAATATTGACAGAATAATCTCTTTTTTTTTAAATATTGTTTTACTTTGATAACATAGAGAATGTCAAATTAAGACGAACAAGGGATAAAATATCCTTTTTCAGACATTGAAAGCAAACAATTTAGATTGGTTGTCTCTTACTCACACTACTAACATAGTATTTGTTATTCATATAAAATACACACCATATATTTATTTTACGGAAGAAAATAATTTCCTTACCCTCTGCAAAAAGTATAAAATCATGATGGAAAAATGGCCACTTTTTCAGTGTATGTCAACTCAACATGGTAATTCCTTGACAGTTTAGAAAACCAAAACAAAACGTTTCCTATTCCAGTGCTAGAAAAAGTCAATGCGGCATTAACCCTGACGTTAGGGATCATGCTATAACAAGACTCGAGTCTTCTTTAATCCCTAGGACAAATTATCACATCAGTTTGTATACAGCTCGAGATAGGGTGTATTTCAAGTGTTCTATAAAGCAGAATTTGTTTAAAAAAAAAAAAAAAAAAAAAAAAAAAAAAAAAAAAAAAACAAGGGTAATTTATACATGCACATTAAGGTATATCCAAGCAATGTGAAAGATTGGAGAGGTTAATTAAATCGCACCGTGCGATAGTATTCCACCACTTACCTCAGGTGTTAAGGATTTATTAGCATGATACATTTACTACACTTAGTTTGAAAGTAAGACTAATCTGGGACTGACCTCGTTTTTGTCTTAAATCTATGTAAATATCCTTATTCAATGTGCTACGCTCTATTTTTACCATTTTAAAACTTCAGTTTGGCCATTTCAGTATGATAAAAGTAGTGTTCATCATGGTATTATGTTATACTAAATAATGTAGATTATTAAATTGGCACGATGGTTTTAATTTCACCTTCTTCACTATTTATAATTTTCCGTGAAAATAACCAAAAGTAAATAAGGTTATGATGACGTAATAAAGTATAGATTTGTTACAATGCACAGGCCTATGACGTGAAATTAAAATCCATGCGATTGAAACCGTTTGAGTAAATTAGGAGAAAATTAAACGATTTACTTAAGCTTTTTGGATGTCGTCGGTCATGTAACAGCATCTGGTCCTACAGACAAATTGAATACCGCGCGTTAGCGCAGTTATACGACCGACGACATCGAAAAATAAGAAATCAATCCTTATATTTACATTCTCTATTTTCTTTTTCATAAATGTTGATTTTATTCATCTTTAGTATAAACTGGCAAGTTTAATAGATGCAAGAGCCGTTTTGACGTGGAAAGTTAAACAACACAAATGAATATTGAAAATGACGAATTAATTTGAAAAGTAAAGACATTAAATATTTACAGGAATTTAACAGGGTAAATGTACATATTAGAGTTCCTAGTGTATTGAAAGTGCATGAAGTTCCTTTTTGTATTCTATCGTGCCATGAAAGGTTTTGTGTGTGTTAAAGGGAAGTGAATGTCCTAGATTTCCAATGAATTTCATAAAGAAAATTACACTGAATGTAAATTTAATACGTTAAATATATCCTTGTTCAAGCTTAATCCAGCGTATGCTATACCTATTAACAGATGAACATTCGTTAGATATTTATATTTTTAACACAATAACGAGAGAGAGAGAGAGAGAGAGAGAGAGGGGGGTGTCAAATATTAACATTTTGAAGAGAAAACAAAATTTGTACTTTACATCAATTAATTTTTTTCTCGAATTTTAGTTTTATGGTTCAAAATGATTATTTGACATTTAATGGATTTTCGTTAAATTAATGATACATTGTACATGAAATGCCAATTAAAAAATCATTAATCAATCTTTTACGGAAAAGCAATTAAAATAATATGGTTTTTAAAACTGCACTTTGGATTCCATTTTTTTGTATGTCACTTTGAATGAAAGAATTTCGAGTGCAGTTTTTAAATATTTTATTTCAGTAAATAATGTTGATTTAATTGCTATGTAAATTTCTCGTTTCAAAACATAGAATGGAAACCCAATCAAAATAAATCTCTCAGATAAAAAAAATCGAGAAATCCATTTCTTTGCAACGGAAAAGTCTGTATATTGATATACTTGTTATGTTACATCTTAAGCTATTTTTTTCTTTTAAAAAATTAACGATACAGTGTCCCTTTCTTCCCCCTAATGAGTAGAGCTGCGTTTTGCAGGGTTTTCGTTTTATATTGCCCAGCTGTCAGTCACAAAATATTATTGTTACCACTGAACTTTAGATGCATCAACATCTATACTATATGTCAAATATCAGAGGCCAATATATACAAAATTCGGAATTTGAAACCAAACCTACACATAAAGAATTAGTCCATTATTGAAGATGGAATGCACATACTAACTTACATGCGTGTTAGAAGCAATTGATTAAATTATCAAATAAAACTTTACAATAAAATGCTTGTGATGCAAGGTTGTATCATTTCCTTACACATGTGTATGTCTACTTACGACATGAAGTAATTACCTGTTTAACATTTTCCGCAAATAATACGAAGCACGATCAGTCTTTAAATTTCCAAAAATGAATATTTGTGGAAAGTACAAGTATGTGGGCCTATATAAATGGACTCCTAACTGGATTTGTCCTTAAGCAAGGGTTCAGTTTGATTGAATACCGCGTTATTTTGACACAATCATGCAAGGTTGTTACTCTTCAACTTGATCCATTTTGTTTTTGGATGTACACCACTGGTAGTGCATGATCAGTCGCGTTACTGTGGGGCTGATTATGGTAGTTAAAATTATAATTATATATATTAGATATCACAGTGACTGTTTTTTTTTTTTTTAATGAAATTTACAAATATTATCATTACTTATTCATTGTTGCATTATTTAACTTATCAAAAATTGTCGGAATCATTACCCCTACTATAAAAAAATGTAGAAAGTTGATCGGAATGAATTTGAATTTACTGCAATTGGTTATAAAATTTATCTTCTGAAATACACATCCTTAATGTACATGTATGAAAAAGAAATCATTTTTCGTATCTTTTTTTCAGCATTTAGTGGAATTGTTCGATTTTCTAGAATAACAGCTAGTGAGTCTGTCTTTCAAATTCAAGTAATTAGAAATATTAAGGTAAGTTTACTTGAAATATATCCTGAAAACTATAATACATATTGATCTTTTACACTAAAAGTATTTTTTCTGCAATTGTGTTTAGAAGATAGAAATACATGTAAATATGAATACTGAGTTAATAAGTAGACTGAGAGGCAAAACATGAAGATGAAAATGTGATAATGGAGCATTTAGGAGTTAACTCTCTTGCTAGAGCCCTTTCCTTATTTTAATAAATACAAATTAAGGACATATGCTACTTTCGAAAAAAGAAATGAATGTACGGATTAGTATATACAATTACAATAGTATGCTGCTATTATTAATATTATAATCATTACCTATATCTATATGTGATTTCATACCTCTTAAATATTTTGACCTAGTTCCTGACAATTGTGGTTATGTTACTTATTGGACATTTCTCGCAAGTATAACACATGTGGAATTGTTCATCTTTCATTTGTACCTTCATTGTAGAAATGATTAATATTTTTATAATATTATAATATTTAAATGTGATCATACTGATATGATTGTTAATGCCCCCTGAGGACCCTCCTTGATTGGTGAATATATATATATATATATATATATATATATATATATATATATATATATATATATATATATATATATATATATATATATATATATATATATATATATATAGTTAAAGGATCATGAAATTACTCGAAATATAGAATCTTAAGGTCAGAAGTTTTCAATAATATATATTTCTTAAGGGTCGAGTTACCTTTCCAAATGGTCTAATAACGGTTTATGGAAGAGGAACACTAAATTCCTGTGGAGCTACAAGGCTTAATCTCGACCAGAGATATATTCTCTATGGCAAGTATTTTCTACTACAATACGAACCCATTCAAACGAAAAATCGTTTAAATGTATTCGTTAATTTTGCGATTTCACTTACCATCTAGATGTTTATTCATATATATCACTTTACCAGAATGCATTAGTTTATGGAATCCGGAAAGGGCCATGCTATTCACTATCGCAGTATTGAGCATCGAGAAAAGGGTCGATGGAGCGATAATACGATAACGCGATAACAATGGAGCAATGATCGATGACGATGAAGCGATGGTGCGATAGCGCGATGACGATGATGCGATGGCGCGACAATGCGATGACGATGGTGCGATAGCACGATAAAGCAATAGTGAATATCTCTTCATCGTCATCGTACCATCGCGCCATCGTAATCGCACCATAGTGTCATTGCTATCGCACCCTCGCGTCATCGCACTATCGATTCATCGTTCCAGCGCATCATCGTCTTCCCATTTTCACACCATCGCATCATCGTCATCGCGCTATCGCACCATCGCTTCATCGTCATCGCACTATCACTTCATCGTCATTGCATTATTGCATCATCGCACTATCGACCCAAACTTCGATGGTGCGATGATGCGATAGTGAACAACGTGGCCCTATCTGAATTCCATATTAGTAAGACCAAACGTATTTCAGTTTTTCATATGGGCCCGGAATGATTTTAAAGCAATTTATCAATTTCTAAATAAACATGTAAAATTGTTGATGTAAAGTATTTGGTTGATAAGTTATTCTTTATTTCCTTTGTTTTTCGTTGCCCTAAAGAAGAGACAGGACGTCCCGAAAATTTGACAATTTCTATTTTTCGTGTCGTGTTTGGTTTTTATTTTGCCAATACTGCCTGTTGCATGGATCTCTCTTATCCTAATGCTGTGGCAGGCTGTGGCATCATCGCTAAACAGTCGTGAGACGTCAAAGATAAGCGAATTTAAAATTGAAAATTGTAAACATGGATTTTAATATCAATTTGGAGAAAATTTGGCAGCCATATTTTGTCAGCGTTAGGACGTTATTCACTCTCGGCATCTAAGCAGTGTGCATGTAAATCCTTCACTCTTCAAGGAGGGAAAGGGTGGTTTACTGCGAATTATTATTTTTATGTACAATAAACACGTCTACGAAAATATCAATTTAATTCAATGGTTTCACTGTTGAAAATGTAATAAATATGCGTTTTCAATTAGTTTATCCATCTTTGATAGTGTTTGCAATGGAAAAGTAAATGTTTTAAAAGGTCGGAGTAACTTTTGTTTACAAATAGGCTTATACAGAAATTGGCGTACTTGTGGTCATGTATGAACATGAATCACAATTTGTAAATCTTTTTTTGCAAAATAAGAATATAGTACACAATAGTATAAGAAAGTATCCCTTTTCTTTGATGACCAATATGTCAGCATACCGGTAGCTTTCGTTCATTCGTCCTAGAGATACGTCTGCGAGTCTATAATCTAGTATAGCACTTATAAAGCCAGAGAAAAGTTTAGGACTTTTGCAATAATGTCATTCATTTTTCTTTTACAAATTTGGAGTACTTTTCTATCTTGAACATATAACCAGTTTCTATAACTCATGTGACGATGTTGTGTTGAAATTACAAGTCAGACTGAATTGCCTATATTTTCAAATGTAAACAACTTCTTGTGTTAATTGTGTTAATTGTCAAAAAGTCAATTTGGATTTCTCCTCTATTTTTTAGTAGAATGTTTTTAAATTATATGCATTTCATTTGTAGTTTTGTCATATGATAATAGACTTAGTGTCTACCAGCAACAGGAAGTCAGTGCGATCAATTTTAACAGAATCAGAAGATACGACTGCTCTTGTGAGGTTAAAAAGTCTCCTAATCTAGAAATATCTTGGCTTACCAATTATTCAAAATAACTTTTTTCCCTATTTAATATGAATTAATATCTATAATATATGTCACACATAAATAAAATGCAAAGTAAATTTGATTATTATTAATTGTATATTCCAACAAAGGGGAAAAACATAATTCACTACATTCTCTCTTTTGAAAGATCATATATGTATTATGTAAGGCAAGAAATTTGATATCTTCTTGGGAATTGACCATTCTTTCCTAGCTTTCTCAACCAGGGGAGCCTTATATTTTCCCATGTAACGAAGTATTCAAATTCTGACCTGTTAAGATTAATTACTTGTAAAAATGAATAATTCAGATCGAAATCAATCTTCCACAACAACCATTCGATAACAGTATGATACCTGCCAGGGACAAATGTATCATCACAGAGCGAGAATGGGACTGTACATTCCAGAACGGATACTGTAGTCGAGCCGGAAGACGCTATGGACCACGTGGTGCATGTCAATGGGTCCCAGGAATATCCAATTGCTAAGTGACCTACGGTCTTTAAAAATCAGTATCACTTAATTTAATATTTGTAAAGACTGTTTTCAATAAATGGTATCAGAAATATTTTAGCCTTTCCCTGTTCATTGTCGAAAAGCAATGTGCATGATCATAACTTTAAATTCTTGTGTATATTTTTATTCATTAAGGTACTAATGATTCTTTCATTTATATTTTTTTTTATAATCTATTAATGTATAATGTATATTATCTTTTTATAATCTATCTATTTTATAAAATAGATGAACCTCTCTTCCGTTGATATGGGTGATTTGTTTATTTAGCAAAGTATTTAGTAATAAAATATTTAGTATTTTTGGACGAGATGGGGTCACTCTGCCGTAAGACTGAATAGCTTTGGATCAGCAAACTGGTCATTGTTAGCTGTTATGTAGTGCTGTTATGCATACAAGCTAAGTGTATTATGCTACATTCCCTCTTTCAGTCAACAAAGCAACTGATTACACTATATAGAGAAAAAGATAAATAATACATATCAACATTTCTATGACATAAATAAAGGTGTAACGAATGATTTTGGTGATTATTATAAAAATCTTGAGAAAATGTACTTGGATGATGGCTGTTAAACCCCTGACACTGAGCAAAATTTGTGTTGAGTAGGAAAAATATGACCAACCAATTTTCAAGTTTTGAGAGCTATCCTCTGTAACCACTTTAACTTTTTGGACACACATAATTTGATGAAACATTGCCCATTGTAACAACTTGGCACCAGAAACATATATAAAATAAGATTTGTTTGCTATGTGTCTTTATTGCAATGGTAAGAGCGTGAAAAGTTGAGATATTCTGCTCCTTTGAATATTTATTGTGCTTTAATAAACGTAAGAAAATCAAACAAACCGCTCTCATAATCACATCACATCTAGTCCCATTTAGAGCTATTAAGAAATCATTTAGAATGCATCTCTAAGTTGTAACAATGGGTATATTAGGAATACATTTAATTGCTGAAAAATGCCTCGAAAATGCTCAATATTCACTAATGATACCAGTAGGTGTTACATGATCAAACTCGACAATACAAGAAAAACAATAAAAATAGTTGATCTTACGTAATAAAGTATTGGCAGTATCATTCAAAAAATAACATTCCTGACTGTTATAGTAAAACAGTAGCCACTCAGAATTTGTTGCTAAATTTTGATTAATGTTGCTATCTTAAGGAAAACATTAAGAGAATTTAAGATTTTTGAATCTTATGACTTGGATATTGTCTAAATGACATCTGGTCAGTGTCGTAACATATCGTAAGGTCATTTCGACCATGCAAGCAAGCATATTTAGAAGTAAGCCTAGACAAAATCATGTTTACAGACAGACTGACAGACGGACGGACATACATATCGAAAGATGATTTCAATTCATCACTTAACTTCCTTTTGGGGTATATAAAAAGCATCACAAAAGCTTGTTGGAAAGTACGGATGTCAAGAACGGTCTTATATTTTAGGTAAAATTTATTAAAATGTAAAGATAAGAAACATTACCAAATTTAAAAAAAAAAATCTGTAAACATATCAATTCAAGAACAAGGCAAAAACATAGACCATTGGAAACACCAAAGGTAAGATTTGGTACCTTAAATGAGCAAAGATCTCCTGTCCACCGGTTAAACCACCCGAGGGCTCTTTGAATTGATAAGATAAATGATAACCCGTTATGTTAAAAAATGCTATGAAAACAAAAGCTATCCAATTTGTATGACAATTTAATGCAAATTTATAATGTAATTGCAAATAAACTCCTTTTAACGACCATAGACTTTGATATGAGACTGTGAAAGCCCTGAAACGTGAAATTACTCTTCAGTAGCCTGTCTAGGTTTAAAAATTGAAATTCTAATATTAAAACTGAAATTCAAAATACTCATAGTATGCGATTCAGCTGGGAGACTAAAACACTTAATACAACTGTTAATTGAATATTGCTTTTAAAAATATGGGGAGTTGAGAATGGAGAAGTTGGAGTCTTTCTGTTTGTTATTTAATTTAGTTTTAGTTTGCCATTAACGTCTATATGCAGAAAGATCCATATTTGAAACAGATGCGGCAGATAAATAGGGATGAATATCAATATTATTTTGGTTAAGCTTCGAAGCACATTGATTACCTTGTACATCAAAAACAGTTAATTCGTATAGGTTGCCTCTGATTACTTTGGATCGTTTAGATTATTACTGAGTTTTCGGGTAAATTGGCAAGCGCGCAAATATGACATATGAAGCAAAAAGCGTTAGATGGACAATAGGTGGCACGTGGCTAACATTATTTCTAAAAAGTATTAGAACAGTTAATTGCATATTTATATAAAAACAAAAAAATAGTTTGTTACTTATATACTTCTGTCAAATAATCGATTAAACATTTTTAACTGATAGTACATCGTATCGACGAATAAACGAATTATAATGGGTTGACAGCCACTAGAAAGAGATTTATTCTAGTTCAAAATGAAAGGATAGATTTCTGATTCTACAATTCTAAAAAATTAATAATAAATAAGTAATAAAACGGGCATTTGCATTTTACTTTGGTCGAAGATTAATATCTCTTAGCAAGCAGGACAGGGGATTAACGTTTGATTGAAACATGAAACTAATCTTGTGTAGCTAATATGTGGAGTTTCAGAAATACTTTATTGTGCATTTTTCGGATTACCGAGTCACTACTACAGTTGTTGTTTTCTCGTTACACAGATTTTACTGAGTCTTTTTAACAATTGACATTGAAGAAATCTATCTTCTTACTTATTTTTCCAATAATTGCTCAGTTTTCTTTGGAACTGCCCTAACTTGTGCCTTTGATACTTGAATTTCTCCAAGCAAAAACAACAATAATGATACATTTAAGAATATTACTGTTATTTGCATTGTTTCCATACCGATGACTAATGAATGAATAATGACATTCAATGCAACATTCCTTGTTATGTAAAATTAATGTTAAATGAAAGGCTGTATCATTCTTTGGTTTCTTCTCTGTAAAACTAAGGACATCACAAGTCTTGAAAGCGCATAAGAAGAAACAATGACATTGAGATAAAATTTCAAAATAAATGTCGGATTCTTCTATATCGGATACAAGATTTCCACCATGGTAAGAATAAAGTTTCTTTTAAATTTTAAGATGATTCCAACTTACTGATTTTCTGTCTAAATAGTTCCTGAGGTTATATGGAAAAAGTGGAGCTGAGGTTATACGGAAAAGTGGAGCTTTTAAAGTAGATAAATAAATAGCGGTATATGATAATCTATATTCAAAAACATATACATGTACATGTATTATTCTTTAATTTTAAGAATGATAGCACCACTTATCTCTATTTTGTCTTATTGAGTCTCACAAATAAATTTTCAAAGGTCAATTAGAAAAGTTTAACATATCATTTGTCATACATTTGAACAATGTTATGTATGACATTCATATATGTAAGTTTTTGCTGGAGAGTGGGGAGTATATAATTTGTCTATTTGACATGTCTAATTTACTGTTTTCTTACTTCGTATGACAAAATAAAGAAAATGTTATATCAAGTGTTGAGAAACATGTTAACTTCTATCTCTTTCTTTTCTTTTTTAATAATGCTTCATCAAAGTACCAAACAAAATGTTTTACAACCTATATTTTTTAAATTTTTTTTTAATTTTCCGTCATTACAATTTATATATTATGACCAAAAAAAATGATATATTTGTATCAATTAAAATAAGATTTTGAATGTTTGATTTTGTTGTTTAAATAACAGACACGTATCTTCGTCATATAATTTTTCTAATGCTTAATGTAATGATCTACTAGAGTATGGATATATGAAGGAATTAACTTTACTAATTCAAAACAAACAATATCTTAAAATAGAAAATACGAAAATCAGTCACTTTTCACTATTTACGTCATACCTCTACCAAACACTAACATGAATTCTTGATAGTAAACTATATGTATATATGATTTTGATTTACAATGGAAAAACTTTTGATACTTTTATTTACCAAAGTAATTATAACTATAGTTTTTGTATATGGGTAATCAATCTATGGTTACATTGAAAATTAATGTTAATAGAAAGTTTTGCAAAGCATAATACAATATCTCGGAGGTCTGATATTACTTGTTAATTAGAAACACTTGCATGATGAATGGTGAAAAAACATTATTATATCACCAGATAGGAAAAAATAGAATTTGCGTGTTTTTTTTTTGTTTTTTTTTTTTTTTTGGGGGGGGGGGGGGGGTTGTTTGTTTGTCTGGGTTTTTTTCTATTTTTATTTTTTTTTTTTTAATTTTTTATTTATTTATTTATTTTTTTTTTTTTGTTGAAAAAAAAAAATGATTAGAATTAAATATTACTTTGTCTTTAACAGAAATATCCTTGTTAAAAATCAGAACCTTATGTTCATTACATGTAATATTCTAAAGAAAAGACGCCAGTGAAGTTCTAGGTATTTAATTCAATGCACGTGTAATACATTCTCGTTATTCTGTAAAAAACTAAAAAAAAAAAAGAGAAAATATACTATAATATAAAAGATGTTAAACTTTTTTTCTAATTTTACACCGAATAACATTTCAGTGTTAAACTTAGATGAAATGTGAAGTTAACGAACAGTTATCATGCTCTATAGTCCTTGACTTATACTAAATTAAATAAGCAACGTTTGATTCCTTCTTTGTAGTGAATAAATCAAATAAAATAACTATCAAAGCAGATCACATTCTTAGACAAAAAACGCATATAATGAGAAACTAAGACTATATTAATTCATAATGGGGAAGCTGAAGTCTTAATATATATATATATATATATATATATATATATATATATATATATATATATATATATATATATATATATATATATATATATATATATATATATATATATATATATATATATATATATAATATATATTTTATATATATATATATATATATATATATATATATATATATATATATATATATATATATTATGTATATATATATATATATATATATATATATATATATATATATATATATATATATATATATATATAT